GATTAACTACAGTAAAGCGTGGTGGAGCAAGGAGACAGCTCAACAGGACCTGTTCGGTGACGATGATGAGGCTTACGATTCACTGAGATGGTCCTTATCTTTTTTATTCTTCTGAAATCACTCTTACCTTTTGGTTGCTAACTATACGTAGTAGTTGTTAAAGTTGGCGGTTCGACGTTAAGTGTACGTGTTGGTTGCTAACTATACGTATTAGTTGTTAAAGTTATTGGTTCGTCGTTAAGTATACGTGTTGGTCGTGAAGTTTGAAGATCATTTGTTATGGTTATGAATCCTTCGCTAAATGTACTGCTTTGTTGTTATATTCATGCAGGTATGAATCCATGGTGCATGCAACTAATCCAGGGAGTCGTGTTGTTATTGATGCTGATGACGGGAGGTTCAGGCGACTGTTCATTAGTTATAATGCCTGTATTGAAGGGTTCATTGCTGGGTGTAGGCCTCTATTGTTTTTGGATGGAACATTTATTAAAGATCGTTACAGAGGCATACTACTTAGCGCTACTGGGTATGACGGCAACCAGGGAATATTTCCCCTAGCTTATTGCGTATGCGACCAAGAGAATGAGGTTAACTGGAAATGGTTCTTACAAGGATTATGGACGTTACTGTATGATAGGGAAAATCCTTACCAACCTCCACATCGACTGGTAATGATTTCAGACGCCGACAAGGGTATCAGGGCAGCAGTCGAGGAATTCTTTCCAGATGCATTCCATTCAAGGTGTGTTCTGCATCTAGTCGAGAATTTCAAAAAAAAGATGAAGGATTTTGGGCACAAGGCAAATATCGCGACTACGTTGGGCGAGCTGTTACAATCTGCGGCTTATAAGTTCACAATATCTGAATGGGATAATGACATGAAAGAATTGGCAGCGATCGATCACAGGGCTTATGTCACTGTAATGGAATACTCCCCGGAGAGATGGGCAAACGCGCATTTTCCTGGTATAAGGTAAGATAGCTTGGTCCCGACGTTATTTTGTTACAGCACTGTTATAGTTGTTAAGGTTAGAGTTATCCTACAGTTTTCTGTTAAGGTTAGATTTTTATTGTTATGGTTAGAGTTATTCTGCTAGGGTTTTGCTGTTAAGTTTAGGATATTTGTTGTTAAGGTTAGGCACTGTAATGGAATACTCCCCGGAGAGATGGGCAAACGCGCATTTTCCTGGTATAAGGTAAGATAGCTTGGTCCCGACGTTATTTTGTTACAGCACTGTTATAGTTGTTAAGGTTAGAGTTATCCTACAGTTTTCTGTTAAGGTTAGATTTTTATTGTTATGGTTAGAGTTATTCTGCTAGGGTTTTGCTGTTAAGTTTAGGATATTTGTTGTTAAGGTTAGGCCTTTAATGTTTAGTTTAAGGAATTATTGTTATTGTTAGTGCTTTGCTGTTAAGGTATGGCCATGTTACTTCAAACGTTGCCGAGTCCTTCAACAGCTGGATAAGAAAGGCACGATTGTTGCGAATCTTACCTTTGGTTGAGACCATACGG